AGGGAATAGTTTTAGTCGGGAGCAAGAAAGATGATCCAGGAAGCCAAAAGATGTCTTTTGTTTGAATAAGTAAACATCTATTCAGGACACAGGACACGTTATCGGAAGAAAAAAACCAAAAACAGAAAACTACTGCAGATAAACATGAATTTGATGTTCGGAAATATGACACATATTCTACATAATGAACAAATAATACGATAGGTTCACCAGATTATCTTTACACAACATAAATGGAAAAAAGACGGAGTTAACAACATAAAAAGCATCTTAAAGTACTGTCATCATCATTCTTTTTAAATGTGAAGTAGTTTATCATCTCCACTGTAAAATAGCAAATGGTGTAGCATCGACTAGCACCATTACCACCATAAAACACCACAATGAGAGTGATAAGAGTAAATAAAAACTGCTGTGGGCCATAAAACCAAAACACTGAGCTGAAAGACACAAAAAAATCTCTGTAGAGCTGAGGGAAACTGAAGAGTAGTTGATAATTCCCTGTAGGTTCATCACTAAGCTACCCCTGTCACATTACACATCACTTAATATATTGATATATTAAATATATATGAAATATTTTTAGTGTAGCTTCAAAGATGCAAAATGGATATGGAGAACTTGAATCTCCATCTGTTCAGAATACACTGTCTACTCATTTCCCTTTGCTCAATGAGACAGATTTCTCATTTCCAAGATCAGAATTCAAGTTAACAACAGAACTATGTTTCAGAGACGTCGGAGGTTTAATATTGGTAAAGCATTTGTGTTCGTCATCCTCCTGGGAGGTCAGAGGTGAGGTTCAGCTACAGAGCAGATCCCTTGGAGCTAACAGGAATTCAGCAGACAAACAAAAGGGCTTGAACCTGGCTCAACGTGAAGTGCAGTTTGTGCGACCGTTAGGCCGTCCTACTCACATTGCGATGAAATGATTGAATAAATTTTGTTCTTTTCTTTTTCTTTAATGAATGAAAATGTGTGTTTTGTCAATCAGGATATAAAACACAATGCATTCTTTATCATTGTTTGTGTATGTGTGCTACAGTGTGTAAGTACACCTGACACTGACAAATGGCCATTGTATTTTGACAGAGCTGGCAGGGGTTCCCATGGAAGTATTTGTGTGTGTGTAGGTCTGTGAGTGTGTTTGTGTGTGTTTGTGTGTGTGTGTGTGTGTGTGTGTGTGAAGGATTACGGCCTGTAACCAGATCCACAACGGAGGAGCTAGTCCAAGGTGTGTCTCTTAACACTGGCCAAACACAACCTGTTGGCTGCTTGGCGAGTGTAGCCCTGTTTGTGCCTGTGTGTGTTTATCTGGTAAGACAAGCCAGAGATAGTTTCATTATATGAGAAGATAAACTAAACCAAATATAGCCAGTGGGGTGATTAAAAGCATAATTTTATGAAGTAGAAAATGTAGTAGCCCATATTATATAAGTTTTCAATATAAAGCTGCTAATCTGTACTTTTATATTAACAATCTAATCACTGTGTAATGTGACATGGGCCTTTTACTTCAGGGTTTTTTGTAGCTGCATATGAATTGTAGGGTACTGATATATAAAATGAGGAGAGTGAGTTGTGTGCTACAGTTAATAAAACGATTAAAACTCTGAATAAAATGAAATTTTAAGGTTGCGTCAAACTAATTGATGAGGTGATCCTGTCCTTCCACCGTCCAAAACGCTGCCATATCAATAAGATAACAGTTTGTAGTTGACTTGACCAACTGACTTCACAACGAGCTGATTAGCTGTTCAATCAGATGACATGTTTTCTGTTCTAAAACCAGTCTCTGGAAATTTGACAAGCCGAGTTGGAACACATCATCAGAAGGAGTGACCCTCACCCCATTTAGACTTCTTGGTGTCACTGACCTTTAGCTTTGTAGCAACAGAGGGTTTCCAAACACATTTCTGTGACCTTAGCAGCAGCTAAGAGATCAACAGGTTGACTCACGGTGTGTCAGCACCTGCTGAACAAAGCAAGTTTCTCTCTCTCAAAGAGACAAAACCTCATATGGACAACATGAAACCTGTTCTTACAGAATGAATCACTGCACAATATTTAAATTATATGGTTCTGGTTAGTGCTCTAATTTGTGATTCAAACCAAAAACCACAACTCGCCTTGTTGTGGGTATGAAATCTGAAAGCTGTCAACATGTTAGAAAACTGACGTATGTTAAATGAAACTTAATGGTGACGTTGCAACGTCCATTTGTCCTTGAGCAAGACCCTTCTTGCAGCTTGAAACTTACAGCTTCTCACTGTTCACTGAGGAAAAATGCCTAAAATGCGTCTTCTTGTCAAGCTTCACATTGGAATAAAAGCACAAAAATATGGTAGTACAGTAGAAGAAGATTACAGACTGGATCTTTGACAGATTTAATTTTTTATATGATATACTATGACATGATATACAGATCCATGAACTTTTGTCCAGTGAAAACCTTTATTTTAAGTTTTAATTGCTCAGTTTGCAGTAACTCTTCTTCATACACAGACAATTCTAAAGAAAAAGAATCCAAGCAGTCTGTCCGACCGGTGATATCTGTACAGTGCAAAGCAGAAACACCTCTGTAATGAGCGTTTAGCAACAGAGATAAAAATACAAACGGGGTGCATGCATGTTGTTATTTATTTTGTGGCAACACAGCAGACCGATTGATATTGAATTAAGACGGAGATAAAAAGAGTCGTCCTACACAATAGGTTTTGTATATTGTGCAGAGTTTTAATCCTTCAGCCTGGAAACCATCACGCTGTGTTTGACAGTTTGACTGGGCGACACACCAAAGTGACAAAAGGACAATCTGACCAATAACTCCTAATGTGATTCACAGCTGATTGACGTTCGACGTCATCTCTGACAAACAAAAAGTAATATTAGCTTCATCTCAAAAGTGAAAGTTTGACATTTAATTACACAATTTGCTTTTCTACAGAGATTTAAATGAGAAGATATCACTCTCACTGTATGCTAAATGAAAAGCTACCCCGAGCAGCCAATTAGCTTAGCTTAACGCCTCTAAACAGGCAGATATACTGTAACTAGCAAGGCAACACGAACAAAATATGCTGATCAGCACCTCTAAAGCTCAATAACATACTAAAATGTGTTCAAGTGGGAAAAAATAAAAATTGCGGTTTTACTGGGGGACTATCCTTTGACTGGAACCAGTAACTTTCTGCAATGTCCGCTGGTCAGATAATTCGTTTCTGGTGTCAGGTGGAAATCTACAGTGTAACAAGTGATGAATTAAATCCTAGCCACTCCCAGTGCCTCTTTTTCTCTCTGTTTGCTCACTGTTTGCTCTCTTGTTTCACTCCAAACCACTTCATCAACATGTGTGTCCCAGTTTGTGTTTCCTCATCCTCCTCTAGCTTTCCTAATCTCTCATCCAGGAATGAGTTCTCAACCCATTCTCTCTCCGTTAACAACCCAAACTGACCCTCCCTCCCTCTCTCTCTCCATCCATTTATTTTAGCCTTGAAGTTTACTGAGCAGGAATGCAGTTTAGTGGGCTCCGTACAAACACAGGTAGACAAAGACTTAAAAATGAACATAAACTCAGGCTCCCATTTAGCTGATAAGGAGTTAAAAGGTGAGACATAATAGCTGTGTTAAATTGTTAAATGCCATAAAAGACTGAAAATGAACGTAAACTGCTGGAATACAAATAAATAAATTCATGTTTTTTATATTCATGTGCAGGGAAAATTAACACACACACACAAATGTATTATCTACATTGAATGCGGCACTTCAAAGCCCATTTTACACATCTTATAAAATAAATAATAAGTAAATGTGATGGCAAGTTTAGATGCTGGTTTTATTTTTATATAAAAATGTCACAACAGAAGTCTTAAATCAGACATTTCCATACCATTTTCAAGGCCACAAGTCTGAATTAAATGGTGTTGGATGAATGTAAAGGTTGCAGGAGGACAAGTGTCTATACACAGAGAGAAGTGAAATATTGTTCACCTTATTACAGTAAAATCACTATAATAATTTCTCACATATCATCTGCTTTGCTCAAAGAAAACAAAGTTGATGATGAGCTGGTTTTATGTTGTTAGGGAAGAAAAAGAAAGTTGAAAAACTTTTATTCATGCCAGCGGATGGATTAATAACTGAATACACTTTACATAAGGTATGTGAGCAAATAGGAATTACATGAGAGTCCCAACTTCACATCTAGTCAGTCTATGTTTGAGCTCATTCTCAATACACGATGAATGTATCTTACAGTGAGCTTCATATCATTACTTTTCAACTCACCGATCCCTCTCGTGCACAACATGCCAAATATCGCGTCAGCTTGATCATTTTCTGTAAATTTCCTGTCATGTAGAAAGAAATCCATAAGGAACACTAATGTAGAGAAAGAGAATAAAGACACTTATATGTCTTAATGGCATATGCTCTTGTGCCACTCATCCAAAACAGTGCTGTTGAGAGGAAACTGAGTCTTGTTTGGGATTACAAAACCATCAAGTACTAAACTGATAACTGAAAGTACTGTGAAACTGCATTAAAATAATCACTATTACTAATTCTAATAATCCTGAACATAGCGCATAGTGTTTTTATTTGCGTACAGATTATGTAACAGGTTATATGCTTTTATTTGTTAACCAAATGAATGATGTAACTGACCACATAAACGCTGCATTGGTGTTAGTTAGTCAGGAAGCTGCCTCATAGTCACTTTTTTGTGTTCATGTAAACTGGCCACCGCCATTTATGGAGGCACACACAAACACATGCAAACTGCACACAGAAGCACACACACATACACAGAGACATTTTCCCGCTGCACAAACAAAACCAAAAAGCACCTGTCAAACTGGTGGTTTCGACAAGAGGAATAGATGGGTAGGTGGAGTGCAGTAGACATAGAGGGAGGTGCAGGATGAGAGAGGGGGGAGTGAGTGACTGCCTTTAAAAAGCAGATTAAAACAGGTTACACATCTCATTCTAGAGGAAATCACACACACATACACAGTGTTTTGGACTATGGCTTCCACCACCTCAGGTGATGTTCTGCCCACAGGCGGCAGGATCTTCACCTCCATTCCTGACGTGTTCTTCATCCCTGAGTTTGTGAGTTTCTCATTTCCCCTTTGGTTTTTTCCCCTCTTCCGTTTTTGAAACAGTATCCCTTTTAGGCTCTCCATCTTTACTCTGCTTACCCAAGTGAGTTAGAGATCTCATTCCTTTCTCTTTTATCTGCCTGTTTCCTTTGTGCATGTTCTCCTCTATCACCCCTAATTCACTGCAGCATGATTAGATTATGATCTTGTTTCCTTGACTCTGTGTGCTTCCACATCTTTGCTCCATGAAGGCGAGTCTCTGTTATAGATAGGAATCCATCTTCTCTTGTTATGTTGGTCAGCAGGCATCAGTGTTTGATCAGTGGAGCCAGCACAGATCTGACCAGCAAACCAACCGTGAAGATTAGAGATTAGAAGAGGTTTGTTCAGGTCCGAAAGTATACAAGAATAAGCAGATGGAACTGGTTAATGAGTTAAAACAACTCATATCTACTCTTTTTATTAGGTAGGCTATTGTTGGCACAGACAAGTTATGTCAGTCAGAAAGCTTGGCAACCCGTTCATAATGACAGTTGAGCTCATAGGGCAAATTGTTTGTTGTGAAAACCATATTGCCATAGAAACAGCAACTTTTAGCAACAAAAAGCTAAATATCTAGTGAAAAGTCCACCCAATATTTGGACAATATATATTGTGCAGTAGTTTTACTGCAATAATGACAGCGAGTAGTCAACATCTTTTGGCGGTTAAGTTCTGTAAGTGTGTGGTACTTTGCAACAATGGGACAACTAGCAAAAATGTCTCCTTTGAAATTAAACAATTTGCAACAGTGTAACAATTCTCTAAATGACACATCTAGACCTGTTCTTCCCTGACAGAATCATTTGACATTTTACAGATACTGAATAATGTTTTATTATTTTATTAGCAGCTTGAAAGTCACTCTAAACTTGTCTATAATACTTTAAACTACAATAAAGTGTTTTAATTCTAAGGTTTCAATAATTTTGCAATAGTAGTCATCAACTTTTCCAATACCAATACCAAACCTGGACTTTTTTAAGGGACATTTTATGGAGAGAAAGAGGAAATGAGGACAATCGCAGTGTAACCTTGGATAGCCCAGATCTGGTATTCCAATCAAACTTGGATCATGTTGGTTTATCCTATTTTTCTGTTCTTGCTTGCTGTGTGTGTCGCTTATATCTGTCCTTGCTTTGGAGGTGAAATATGAGACAAATTCTCCACTTCAATTAAGAGTCAATATTCATATCAGAATATAACACATACACCTCCTAGATTTCCTAGACTCCTAGACGTGAATCATTCAGAAACAAATATATGTAGACTATATGCAGGTTCTGTACAGGGAAGTGAAGATTAAATAAATTTGACACAGGTGGAAAAACAGCTTTAGCTGCAGAGGCAAGTGTAAATCTAAACCAACCGTCAACTTACATGGTTCATTTGCTGGCTTAGGTCTTTTTTATGGCAGCTGGCCAGTGCACCTTTCTGCTGAAATAACCTGCTGATCAGGTATGGAAATGTACTGGTAAGGTTTTCCGACGCCGACGCTAAAACGTACACGGATATAAAAAAGGGCAGGGAAAAGATAGGCTTGGCAGCTCATTTGTCTACTGTCCAGTGCCATCTTCCTGAAAGAAACTAAATGACTGAACTGAATTTCAAACTAAGAAAGTTCAGATGAGAATTAAGCAAGAAGACATTGACCACACCCATGTCTTTTGCAATCACACAAAACAAGCATTGTCATTTTGTGAAAATGAATTCTGTACTATTCTTATTATTACCGATGTGGCCCTTCACATGGAAACCATTTCCATTGTTGAATGAAATTAACTAGACTGCAAACAATGGTATCCATCTATATAGAGTAATGTTTGAGTTGGCATTCATTTTAAATCCCCCTTGTAGGCACGACAGAGGCTAGAGGCTAGAAACAAGGTCCTGGTTGGAGGCCAGCAGCTGTAGTCTGCTTGGATTCACATCAGTTATAATTAATCCCAATGGCAATCCAGAGTAAAACCTTTTCTAAACATATCAAAATGCCCATAAAAACCAATCCCTCTAGCAGCAGCATAATACACTAATCTATTATGTTATACTCAGTTTCTCCACTTGGCTCTAGTATATTTAGCTATTTATTGGCAATACAAGGGTTGAATTTGAACTTACGAATCTACTATGAAGAAGTGCAGCAGGAGAGGTTTCTGGACATTTTGATACATTTTGTCTTTTTGCTGTGACCATGGGTTGCCATTGGAAGTCATTGTAACTGCTGTGAATCCAAGCGAATTAAAGCTGCCGTCCTCTGCGATGGGAACAAGCTGCAAACATTTCAGAGCCACCTGGCGGAGAGTGATGATACTTTAAAGATCAATTTTCAGTGGAAATTTAATGGGCTGCAGGCCCTTTTACCTGGAATGGAAGTCTGATATGGAGTAGTAGAGATAAGGCTTATGCAATATTTGCAGATACCACTACATGTGATAGCTTAAAGTAATGTTAGGTTGAAGTAAGAGGATTGTTTTTACAGTATGTTCTCACCTCTGTATCTTACTTTTCGGGCATCAAAATGAAAGTCATAAAAGGGAGTGGACTTGTTGCTGCTGAGGCAGTTATATTTTAACTGTTTCCTCACTAATATATTAATATATTAGATATTGCCAATTTGACCTGATGTAATAAAATGACAGAGAATGTAGTTAGAATGTAGTTGTTAGGTTTTTGGGTGGGAAAAATACATCAACTAATTCAAAAGTAGCAAAACTACCACTTTAATACAATATCAGGGTTTTTTATTGATAAAAACATCCCAACATTGGGGAAACCAGAAAGGATGTATTTAATGATAAACTCCCAGTAAAAAGTAAAAAAAGACAAATGTGATTTTACTATGCTAAAAACATGAATATTTCAAAGTAAGATCAACTGTAGCAATGCTGTGTAAGATTTAGTGGCATCTAGCGCGCCAGTTGCTGATTGCAATGACCTTGCCTCACTATCCCATTCCGTGTAGCGTGTAGGGCAAATTATGGTGGCTGCAAAAAACGCGAAAGGCCCTACCTAAAGCCAGCGTTTGGTTTGTCCGTTCTGGGTAGTTCAACATTGCAGACTCTGTAGCACTCGTTCTAAGGTAAAAGCGCAATGATTCTCATTTATTAGTTTTTTAAAATACACTAATAAAAACATGCCTAAATTTTATGCACTGGACCTTTAATTCTTAATTAAAAACTTGGTTTAAACCCATACCCAAATCAAGATTGAAAAGTTTCCAGAATGAAATAAACAACACATCTATCATTTTTATCTTAATGGAACATGAAAATGATGACATCTGTCAGTGTAAGCATCATATAGCCTCAGTGAAGTGCTGGAACGCATGATATTGTAAGTGATATTGTCATACAGAGAGAAGAAAGTCTAGAACATCGAAGCTACTTAGAGGGGGCGTTTGAGGTAAAGTGATTTAACGTATAAATGTAGAGAAATATTTGAACAGCCTGCAGGTATATTGTTTGATTCAGGGTGTGGCAAATTCTTTACATGTGGTCAGGTTGGTTGCTAAGCTAATAAAATGCATAGCGGCTAGATTATGAATAGACTGTTCTGGCTTTGAACGCGCTGTCTTTACACAGCTGAGTGAAACAGTTCTACTGCTTTCATGAAGCAATTTATCAAAGTATTATTCATAGTATTGTTTTGGTGTGACTGTATTAAATTGCAGAATGATTTGTTCATGTATTGCATGTTGATGTTTTGCTCATAGACATGCACCCCACACAATATATCAAACTAACCATAAAATCATATATTTCACACACAACAACCATTTATGTCGCCTAAAGACCTTTTGTTATGTTTACCAGAGTAAATGTGTTGGATTTTTGTCCCCCTGAAAGCTATAAGGGCAGTTATATTCTCCACAGTGTTAATCCAGCATCAGGAAGCGGTGGGGTTTATTTGCTGCTGGCGTTTTGGGATCTGAATGTGGCAAGGGTTCGCTCCAGCTCTACTCCTGCACACCTGATACTTGAGGGCTTAATGATGATTGGTTGAGCTGTAGTGGCATGTGTGTGTAGCCCTTAACTAAAAACTAAAAACTAGCACACTATAGGTCTTTTTCACACCTTGTCATAAAAGGAAAAGGTGCAGGTGATACAAACAACATGGTACTAACAACACAATGGTTCTGTTCTGTTCAAGTGTCTTAGTAAGCCATGACAACAGTCCAACGGTGAGCCAGGAGACTAGGAGACTGAAATTAAATTAAATAAATCATTAATTTTAGTATTATATATTTAATACACCTATGTTATTCCCACTGTGACATCTCAAATTGTCTTCCATGAAAAAGGCCTATCCCAAAATAAAGAGAAAGTCTTATTGCACAATATAAAAAAGGACACTGAAAGGGAAATAACTTTCCTGTACACAGTATCTACATTAAAGAATTTCAATGCGACTCTTATCAAAGAACAAATGCTAGTGGTTCATGCTCTATCTAAATGCCAAAGACTCTTTCAAGCATAATGTTTGTCAAAGGAGGAGAGAGAAAGACTCAGAGAAAAATACACCCAAGAGTGCCAACATTGTGTGTGTGTGTAAAAATGGTAGACCTTAGATCCAACCATTATTTTAAAGGGGCACTCCAGCCACTTTACACCTGAAGCACAGGAGGGGCTGTCTGAAGTAAAAAAAATAGCCAGATGGCTTCGAGACTACACATTTATAACAGAAAACATGTGTTACAAACTGTAGGTGGAATTTGAAAGATGTGGGGATTTAGCAGTCATCAAGAGTTTATTGAAGTTGCATTATGGGGAATGTAGGATTTATTTTTTAGAGCTTGACCCACTCCAGGGACTTAACGTCAGGATATCTCAGCCTCTGCTGCTTTGATTTTGACATTTTTGTTTTAATCTGTGTCTCGCAAGTCCCCCAACTTTATTGAGGTGGAATACAAAAAACATTGGTATGCCCCTTTAAA